GATGCTTATGCTGATGATGATTATGTTGATGATGATGACGATACTGATGATGCTGATGATGATGCTGATGATGCTGATGATGATGATCATGATGATGATGCTCAGGACGAGGATGATGATTAGGATGATGATGATGATGATGATGATGATGATGATGATGATGATGATGATGATGATGATGATGATGATGATGATGAGGACGAGGGTGATGATGACGATGACGGTGATGCTGAGGCGACTGCTGCTGCCGAGAATGACGACGATGGTGATGCGGATGCGTAGGAAAGGAGGGAAGGTGAGGGAGGAGGGGGATGTGTACACATCGGCAAAGCCGGGGAGGGTGGGGGTGGTGGTGGGGGGTGGGGGTGGGTGAGTGGGGGGCGGCGGGTTGGGGGGGGGGGTAGGAGGTAAAAGGAAGGTGCGGGGGATAGGAGGTGGACGGCAGGATGTGATGATGACGAGGAGGAGGAAGATAGATGATGCTGATGCTGATGATGATAATGATGATGATGATGATGATGATGATGATGATGATGATGATGATGACGATGATGATGATGGCGATGGTGATTGTGATGGTGCTGATGATGATGCTGATTATCATAATGATGCTGATGATGATGCTGGTGATGATGATACTGATGATGCTGGTGATGATGGTGATTCTTATGACGATTATGTCGTTGCTGTTGTTGTGGTTGTGGTTGCGGTTGTGGCTGTGGCTGTGGTTGTAGTTGTTGTTGCTGCTGTTGTTGTCTTTGTTTTTGCTAGTGTTGTTGGTGTTGTTGCTGCTGTTGCTGTTGCTCTTGTTGATGATGATGATGATGGTGAGGTGGATGAGGATGAGGATGAGGATTCATTGGCTTACGCCACACCGCCGACCCCTGGGGGCGGCAGCAATCGTCCCCCGCGTGGCCTGTCTGGACAGCCTGTGAGGCCCCTCTAGACACGTTTTAGAGCCCTCTTAGGACCGTCCTGCCGTTCCCCCGGGCCGTTCCTATGCTTTCTGGGGCCTTCGTGGGGCGCCCGGAGGGAGGCCGTCGTGGAGCCTTTTGGAGAGTCTCTTGGGATGCCAGAGGTCGATCTTGGAGGTTTACTGGGCCGTGTGGGCCTCGTGAAAGCCCAAGAAGCGAACATGCTGAAAATGTACGTTTCCCCTGGGCAATGGGACGGTTTTTGCTTCTGGAGGCCTGCTTGGAGCGCCTCGTGGTCGCGTATGCAAAGGTCTTGGACGCCCATGGGGCTGTCTGGAGGCAATCTTGGGCGGTTTGGACCGACAGCCTTTTGGAGCCCTCTTGGCAGCTCTTGGGAGACCTCTTGGCCCGTTTTGGAGCCCTGTCGGGACCGTCCTGCGGCTTTCCTGGGCCGTTGCTATGGTTTCTGGAGCCTTCGTGGATCGCCTGGAAGTCGTCTTGGAGCCTTCTTGGGAGCCTCTTCGGGTGACAGGGGTCGATCTTGGATGTTTATTGGGCCGTTGTGGGCCTCGTGAAAGCCTAAGAAGCGAATGTGCTGAAAATGGACGTTTTACCTACGGAATGGGACGTTTTTTCCTTGTGGAGGCCTTCTTGGGGCGCCTCGTGGTCGCGTTCTCAAACGTCTTGGACACCCATGGGGCCGTCTGGCGGCGATCTTGGGCGGTTTGGACCGAATCGTCCCCCGCGTGGGCCGTCCGGACAGCCTTTGGGAGCCCTCTTGCCCCGTTTTGGAGCCCTCTTGGGACCGTCCTGCGGCTTTCCCAAGCCGTTGCTATGTTTTCTAGAGCCTTCGTGGATTGCCCGGACGCCGTTTTGGAGCCTCTTTGGGAGCCTCTTGGGCTGGCGAGGGTCGATCTCGGATGCTTCTTGGGCCGTTTTGCGCCGCGTGGGAGCCGAATGGGCGAATGTGGTGAACATGTACGTGTCCCCTAGGGGATGGGGCGATTTTTGCTTCTGGAGGGCCTCTTTGGGGCGCCTCGTAGTATTGTTTCACGCGTCTTGGGTACTTATGGAGCCGTGTGGAGGCAATCTTCGGCGTTTTGGGGCGACCTTTCGTCGATTCGCAGCTCTCTTGGACCGTTCCGGGAACCTTTGGAACCTTTTTGGCCCGTTTTGGGGCCTCCTGAGGCTCCAGGTGTGCGGATGATGAATTTGTCCCCCACCCCCCCCACCCCCTCCAAACCGGCCGGACCAGGCCCCGGGGGAGGGGTTTGGGGAGGGGGAAGCATCTCACACGCCGTGACCCCAAGGGGTCGGCGGATTTGAATCAGGAGGAGGAGGAGGAGGAGGAGGAGGAGGAGGAGGAGGAGGAGGAATGTTAGGATGCGGGGGATCGGGGAACGGGGTAAGGGATTGAGCGCGACGAGGCGCATGACGCTCAGGGCGCATGACGAGGAGGGCAGGGTTTTGGGTGGATGACGGATGCTCGTGTTTTGTTCGTGTGTGTGTGTGTGTGTAGCCAGCAGGTGGAGATACCAGTATGGGAGGATGCACAGAGGACGGAAAGGACCACGACGGGACAAGATGAGTGGGGGGGGCGCGAAGACGACCGCGCTTTGCGCAGTGCTTCCAGAGCCGGAGCGCGCGCCCCTCTGCCGCGGCGCGTGGGCACCGCGCAGCGCGGGGCACGAGCCGCGGAGTCGGGTGTCCCGGGCATCTTCCCTCCCCAGACTCCACCTCCTCCACCTCCCTCCTCCTCCTCCTCCTTCTCATCCTCCTCCTCCTCTCCCTCCTACTTCTCCTCCTCCTCCCCCTTCTCCTCCTCCTCCACCTCCTCCTCCTCCTCCCCTCCTCCTCCTCCTCCTCCTCCTCCCCTCTCTCTCTTCCTCCTCCTCCCTCCACCACCTCCACTCCACCTCCACCTCTACCTCCACCTCCACCCTCCTCCTCCTCCTCTCTCCTCCTCCTCCTCCTCCTCTCTCCTCCTCCTTCTCTTGATTCCTTTCAAGTCCAGTCCAATTCTTCTCCTCCTCTTCCTCCTCCTCCTCCTCCTTTTCCTGCTGCTGCTGGTGCTGCTGCTCCTCCTCCTCCCACCTCCTTGCTCCCTGTTCCTCCTCCCCCTCCTGAAATCCAGTCCAATCCAATCCTTCTCCTCCTCCTCCTCAGTCATCCTCCCTTCTCCCCATGTCCACTTCTCGTCCCCCTCCCCCCTCCTCCCCAGAGTCTCACCGCAGCGACGTTTGGCTCGAGCCACCCACCGCCGCGGGAGCCGCTCTGCGGGGGCGCTCGCCTCGCGCCGGCAGCGGGGCACAGGCTATGGCCGCGGCCGTGCTCGTGCCCCGCCACGCGCGTGACGTGGGCCCACCTCGCGGGGACCCCTGCCTCTGCAGGCGCTGCTCGTCGCCATCGCCGTCGTCGTCGTCGCCGCCGTCGTCGCCGTCGTCGTCGCCGCCGCCGCCGCCGTCGTCGTCGTCGTCGTCGTCGTTGTTTACGTCGCTACCGCCGTCATCAGATTTGTGGTCGTCCTCGCCGAGATCGCCAGTGTCCTCGCCGCCCGCAGGCGCTGCTGCGGCCCGGCCGACGAGCACCGGACCTTCGGCCCCTGCTCGGCGCTGGCCCTGCTGTGCGACCACCCGGGGCTTCCTCCCCGTGGTCGGCGGGCCATGGGGGGCGCCGTGCCGGCGGCCTCGGTGGCGGGTGGTGGTGATGTCGGTGTCGGCAAGAGCGAGATGGGTACGGGAAGAGTGGGCACAATGCCCAACAGCAGTCCCTGTTCATTTTGAACAGGACTCGCTGTCCGCGCCGCCGCGGCCTGTGTCCATTTGAGGCAGAAGGTCGCCTGCCCCACAGCGGAGTTGTTGGTTTGGGACAGCATTTGTTGTTGGGCTTTGCACCCGTCTTTTCCGTACCCGTTTCGGGCGTCCAAATGGTGGTGGGAGGAGCAGGAGGCAGAATTGCAGAGCAGCAGGGTGGCGGTGGTTCCAATACTCGCAACATGCCATCTCGCACGCGTCCGAAAGAAAACATGTCTTCCTCTATGTAATGGATTGTGAATCACCCGCGGCGGATCCTGGCCATTTGCGAGTCGCTACTCTGCGAGTAGTGGAACGCGCATGTCGAGTGATGATGATGGAGGTGATGAGGACGATCATGACAAAGACGACGATAATGAGATTTCGGTGGTGATGCTACTGATGATGACGAGGACGAAGATGGGGGATGACACGCTGAGCTAACCCCAGTTTCCAAGCGTCAGTCAGCGTTCCGAACTTTTCCCAGACCCCCGTCCCGCGAAACAGAGCGACACGCTATGATATTATAAAGCGTATCGTGTAGCAGGGGTCGCCGTCGCGAGACGTGGAGCAACAATTCCGCACCCCAGAGCCTTCCAACAATCCCCGAGGAACCCTCTGGAGATCGTCGACTCGTTTGTTGCCAGAGGTAGTCTTGGTCCAAGTTTGTCCTTGCTTTTCCTGAGACTCAGATGAATTCCAGAGCCCCACGTGGCGCGGATGAGGGGTTCCAGAGCAGCGCGGAGGGCTGGGGGCACCGTGAGCCAGGATCACCTCCGGCACCCTCCGATCGATCACCAGACCTACCCTGGGGTGCTCCTTGACCAGAATTTCGATGGGAGTTCAGCCGCGGCGGCAAGGAGCCCCCCGGCAGACCCGAGGCACGGCACAGAGACGTCCGAGAGCCTGGATCCTTGGCGTTCGACGTCGCTCGCGCTGGCCTTCGCAAAAGGCACCCGCAGACCACCGCCAGGCCTGGCCAGGTCCATCCTGGGCCCCGGCATCGTGCTTCGACCCTCCTGGGCGTGACGACCCTTGGGCACCTCTCCTCCTCCTCCTCCCTCTCCTACCTATGGTAGTGGTGGTGGAAAATCAGAATCTTGAGGGGCAGCGATGGGGGGGATAGGCACAGGGGGGGACGCATCGACCCCCAATCGCCCATGGATCGGACCCTCAAATTTGGACCTGCCGCCGGCGCTGTCCCCTCGGATTTGGCCCGCCGCCCGCGGGGCTTCTCAGCTGCAGCGTCCTTCGCCACCCGTGCAAGACGCTGCTGCTGCTGCGGGGCGCCGAGGTGGCGCCGCTCCGGCGACTGCTCGCGCAGGCGCCCCGTCTCGAAGACCGTCCCGCCCCACCGGCAGCGAGTGGCGCCGACGGCGGCGGCGACGGCGACGGCGACGCCGACCTCGGCGGCGGCGATGACGAGCGCGCCGATGCCGAATGCCAGCGGCGGCGGCGGCGGCGAGGCGCCGAACGATGCCGAGCGCGGACGGCGACGCTGGCGGCCGCGGCGACTGCGGCGACGATGCCGAACCACGACGGCGACGGTGGCGGCGCTGGCCGGCAGCGCTTGGCACTGGCCAGGTGCCGCCTGAGACCGCCCGCGCCCTGATGCCAGAGCTGCTGGACGGCGTGCAGCGGCGGGACTTCCTGGAGGTGTTGAGCGTAGATGGTAATCTTTAGTCGGGCGTGCCCCTCTACAGGAGGAATATTCAAAACTCGTAAAAATATAGTATGGGACGATGTATCGACTATTTTGTATATTTTGTCGTCTGTTTCGAGTCTTTGTTTTATCATTCGTCCAAAACCCGCATGTAGGGGGACATGCCCGACCTAATGGTAATCCAACTCTCTCCTCTTCAAAACCTCTTAATGCAAGGGAAATCATGTAATACTGTGACAAGGATGTTGTCTCCGAATCGAACTGACCGTTCGATGAGTGCGTCTACCCTTCCGCCACAGCTGGCAGTGTTGAGCCACATAGCTATGGGCGAGAGGGATGATATATAAGCACGAGCGAGCGAGAGCAGCAGCAGAGATAAGTTTCAGTATTGTCCCGTCTAGTCACATCTCTGCCATGCACTTTTCACACAGGAAAAAGAAACGTAATTAAATCATGCAGAGCAAGTTGACAGCAAGCTTCTAGAATTTTCAATAATTTACTCCTTCGGTTCGACTGGACAAACCACCGTCCGTGCACCGAACAGCATATATCAAGATATTTTCTTGATCTGATCTCTAAGGGGTGCTTGCCTTCACATCTGCCACCATCTCCCTCCGAGCCATTGCCACGGCTGGCTCAAGGAGACTTCTCCCTTCATTTGGTAGCGGTCCTCAGTATTTGTGAGCTGACCTGATGATGTGGTAGGCCACGCAGGTCTTGATGGTTGGGCCGAGGTTGTAGATATGGCTCTCGTCGAAGTCCAGCTGAAGAAACCTTCCCAAGCAATTGGCGTAGTGCCTATCCTTTTGGAATTCGTCAGACAATTGTTTTCGCTCGTACTTGCCACTCTTGATACGTGCCTTTCCCACCGTGATTAGCCACTGTCTCAAACGTGTGCTATCTCCCAAGAAAATTGGTTCTTCTGCCTCATACTGGATCTCGTCGTTGTATGGTACAGTCTCCATGGGTTCCTCCACCTTCCTGCTTAGGGCAACCTGTTTGGGCTTCTCCAGGCTCTTGACACTCTCCTTCTGGAACAGGTTGTCGCTGCTTGAGTTGTCCACATCCATTGGCGCTGACATGCCAAGGTCCTCGTCGCTGTCGCTTTGTTTAGGCTGCATTATGTAGATTCACATGCTGACACCTGCGATGATAGAGATTGTTGTCACCACCGTAGGAGACATCGAAAGACAAACTCCATACTTTGCGAGTGCACATAACTGAAACATGACTGCAACTTGGCCAGGTATCTGGATAGTCCGCTGCGCGCCACTCCTTTCCATCGGGTAATCTTCCGTCGCATCGTCCTTATAGACTGTCTCAGCGTCTTCAGCTTCATCCTGAACTTCGTCTTTCCCGTCGTAGAAGCACTCATCTACGTAGTTGTACTCTTCCACCGGCCATGTCGAAATCTCCTCGTTGTTGCCATCGGTGTCGTCGTACAGCTCCTGCTTGACGTACTTTGTCATGTTCGCGTTCAGCGTGTCGACCTCCTTGTTGGCTGCCTCTTTCTCTGGTCCAAGTAGCTTTCGTCCGCGTATCGATGGTGCCCTGTTATCAGGCCCAAGAGTTCACACATTTGATATCTTCCTCGCGTAGCCTCATGAAAGTTTTGTCAAACAGTCCGCCAACATCTGCTCGCTCTTGACCCACTGATGCTTACTTTCTTGAGTGACTGACGTAGTATGACCGCTTCTAAAAGTATCCTCCGATCGGTCACTGACATATTCTCCTTCGTGATCGTGCCGTAGAGGCTCTTACAGTCGGTCACTGAACTGCATGTCGCCGGGCAGGTGTCATGCACAATCTCGGTAGCGTCCATCTCTGGGTACAGGATCTCCGCTAGGGTAGACCTCGTCCAGATCAACATGTCCACTGAATCTGCACATGAGTACGCCTCCGCAGATAGAGTAGATCTCACCACTCGCTGAATCTTTGAAGACTGCCATTCAATGCAGTGTACCTGGTACTTGTTGTCGTGGTCCTCGTTGATCTTCTGGTCGCCTAGCATGATAAAGTGTCCACGTAGTTATCTGTGCTTCGGCAGGTTGTCGAAAGCGGTGTTCGTCACGTAAATCTGTTCGCTTCTGAATCCTTCTGATTGCTGCGTTGCCATCTTGTAGGTCCTTAGCCGTCGGAGCTCCAAGGGTAGATGCCAATCGAGATGCTTCGAACGCCTCCTCGAAGCAAATCATGCGCTCAGCCCACTGCGGTTGTCCCACCACCATCCGTACTCCACGATGTTCGGCAAGGGTTAGTTTACTATCAGGTGCCTTGCTGCGCTCTCGGGATACACGCAAAGTCTGCATCGACTTCGCGTACAATCCTTCTTGGTGACGTTGATGCTGTCGTCCTTCTCCCGCTGGTAGGCTCGGCCACAGGTTGTCGCCTTCTCCGCCCTTGCGTGCTTGACCTCGCCAAAATCGATCCCCTTCTGCAGATCCTGCATGATCTTGGCGCCCTCAGAGTCGTACTGCTTGACGCCCATGAGGAAGTCGTCCACAGGTAGGCACATAATCTCGATGATCGTGCTCTGCTTACTTCGCTTGTCGCTGGCTCGAAGCGCAGACCGACCCAGCCAAGCTTTACACTCGTCTCGCGTAAAGCTACGTGCAATGCTCTTGCCGCGTCGTTGGTCCCGTATATGCTCTTGTTCAGCTTCAGCTGGTCGTTTGCCTTCACATCTGGGATGGTGCACTTCCCGAGGTTCGTCGGGATCCGAAAGTAGAGCTCGCGCGTGATGGCCTTGCCTTGCAGAAAGGGCTCCTCACATCTGCGACGACTAGGTCCAAGTTAAGGCTTGATACGGTGTTGCACAGTGTTAGCGTCATCTGTGCTGATACTGTTGGTCAATCTCGGCGTAGCTTGTCGTCGAACTCCTCCTCGTACCCTTGTCCGCAGATTCTCGCCTGCGGCTCAGAGGTCGTCGGGTTCTTGTCAGCCCAAACCATTTTGGAACTCAGGATCTTGTCCCGGTCAACCTTGTCGATTGCTGCTCCTAAAGATGTGTTTCGCTGCAGCGGACTTGCACCGCGTGTTTCATTCCTTCTCCACAACGGCCTGCATCTTCTTCGATTTCACCTTGTCGTCTTCCAGCGCCTTCAGGTTGATCTCCTGGTGCTTATTGGCTCTCGGCTGGGTGCACGCCCGCTCGGCTGCGAATGCTTCGACAAGTAGCGATATCTCGGCTAGCTGGTTCATTGGTCCAGCTTACCCCTTAGCCCGCTTGATGTTGATGGGCACGCCGTCCAGCAGGAGCTCCATCAGAGTCACGGGGCGATCTTGCCGCTTGCCCTGGTGCTGCTCTGGTTGACGTGTACTCGCCGCTGCCGCGCCTTGATGATCCTGCGGTGCTGGTGTTGGCACTGCCGCCATTTCTTCTGCCTTCGTGCGCTCCTCCATGTGCCTCTGAATTCCAGCAGGCACTTGAAGCTTTGCTCGGTCGTCCAACGCGTCGTCCCTTCTGGTCTGCTTGAGCTTCGGTTCCTTCTTGGTAGCATGCTTCTTGCCACCTCTTGTCTGCCCTTCGGCTGTTCCTGCTCCTCCATGATCTCGTCAGCTCGATCCTGGTGTCCAGCTGGAGGTCCTGGCTGTCCTGCTGCAGGTTGTTGGTCACCTCCTGGTTGTTTTCCCGTTTCTTCTTTCCTTCTCGAGGTAATCTCCTCTATCACCGTGATGGGCTGTGTAGAAGCCACATCGTCGATAATCAGAGGGTTCATCTTCCAGCCTTCTCTCGAGATATCTCGTACCAGGTCCCTGGTGTCCATGTTGGACAACCTCCCCCTCTCGATCTCGTATCCAGGCGCCGCGTCTGGAAGTAGAGGTCCATGGGTAACACCGTTCAGCTGCCTCAAATCACGCTTGCCCTGGCTGCTGGCCGCTACTGCTCCAAGAATTGCGTCCCAAGCTTGATGCGCTCGACGTGATCGTCCTCGGAGGTCTTCCCCCGCTTGACCTTGATTAGCTGGTACTTGCTCGCACTCGTCGTCCAGCCGTTGCCTCATAGGCATCGCGTCATTGTGGTGCACCACTTCCGATCGTCTCTCCTTGCCCTTGTCGCTGTCCGCCTCCGTCAGCTTGATCGCACCACCTTGTGCAGGTGCTGCTGATGGTGTCTTTCCTTGGCCTCGGGTTGGCGGTTGTGGTTGTGGAGCACCTGGTGGTTGTTGTCTTGGAGGTTGTTGATAATCAGATGGCTGTCGCTCTGGAGGTCGCTGATTCTGCTGCTGATCTGGCTGTTGGAGGTCGCTGTCGCTCTGTCGCTCTGGAGGTCGCTCTGGAGGTGGCTGTTGTACTGGCTGTTGGTCTTGCTGTTGATCATCTCGTGCTGGGTTGTACTGTGTGCCTCGTAGTTCGAAACAATCTCGCTGTTCAGCTCGTCCACGTGCTGGTCCACCGTCTGAGAACAGGTCGAAAAACTGCATCGTGCTCGCCTCGTTCTCGGTCTCCTTGCGCAGTATATTTGGTGAGCTCAAAGTCGGTGCCCGATTGTGGATCAGCCAGTAGCAATTCTCATTTTTGCCCAGGCTCCGGGCAGGTCCATGCCATCGAGCATGCAAATTGCGCTTGAGATTGTCTGATTGCTGTAAATCTAGTCGATTTCAGAACGGCGTTCGATCCCAGTGCCCATTCTTGTGGTGAAAAGCCCGCTGTGCTCACCAGTTGGTTGCATGCGTTCGCCATGCGTCGCACTGCGGCTGCGCCCGCGTCCTGGCCCCGAACTTCTCCAGCACTGAAGACACTCGTCGCCATCTCCTTCAGGTAGCGTTCCTTCCTCTCGACCTTGCCCATCCGCCAGTGAGCCTCTGGTTCCGCGTTGTTGATCACAAGGCCCAGGTCGTTGGACAGCGTCCGGAACTCGCGCATGAAGGCAGAGTCCTGGTCCTGTTCCAGTGCGATTGGAGGCACGTCAAGTGAGCTATCTGAGCACGAACGCCTCCTTCGCCAACTCCGCCGTCGGTCTTGATCCAGGACACGTGTAGATGGCCACCGTGAGTCCG